TATGTGCTCAAGCAGTTCGAGCTTAAGATCCAAATCAGTTCGGTCAGGACTCGGGTGCAAAGGAGTCAACCCACAACATTACAGAGCACAACCGCGGCATGGAACATCGCAGTTCAGCACGGCGCAGCACAGCACACTCCTCAGCACGGCACATCAAGATCGATACACTCAGCATTGCAACCTGGCACGTTCCGTGGAGCGTCCCGTGGCCAGTCCCCCTGGCGCGTCGCGCGGCGCGTCCCCTGGCACGTCCCGTGGCACGTCCATTGGCACGTTCCGTAGCGCGTCCCCTTGGCACGTCCCGCGGTGCGTCCCACTGGCACGTCCCTTGGCACGTCGCCGGGCGCGTCCCTTGGGACGTTCCGCGGCGCGTCCTCCTAGCATGTCCCCGTGTCAACTAGCTTTGGGGCACTTACTATGTGCCCAGGCAGCTCGAGATTAAGATCCAAATCAGTTCGGTCAGGACTCGGATGCAAAGGAGGACTCGATCCACAACGCTATAGGGCACAATCTCGGCATGGCACATCGCAGTTCAGCACGGCGCGGCACAGCACAGCATTCGGCACGGTACTTCAAGATCGATACACTCAGCATTGGATTTGCCCGTCGCCCAATCAGGTGTTTTTGAAGCGTTCCCACGCCTTACTTACATTTCTATATTCCTTTCCCTACTCGTGGGTCGATCATGTTGGTAGATTTACCCCCGGAGTCGGCGGGGAGAGGGCCAGCGAAATTATTGCGAAGGCCTTACGGCCTGTCCCGCCGACCCTGAAGAAGCCGACCCTGACCACGACGAGGTAGAGGAATGAGGAGGAGGAGACGCAGGAGGAGGGGGCGGAAGACGACGCCGAGGAGGTGGAGGAGGTAAACAAAAAGAGCGAGGAAGGGTAGCAGTAGGAAGGGGGTGCGATGATGTGGAAGTGTATGGGGATGTGGAGGCCGAGGTTGAAGGGGAAGGGGTGGGTGCTGAACACCGACAGGGACTGCAAGGAGACGTGGAGCAGGAGAGAGATGGCGGGGTTGGTTGAGGATGGCACGGAATAAGAGCAAGAGGGGGATATGGAGGAAGGATACGTACTTGGAGAAGGGCGTGATTTGAGGGTGGCAGGGGTGGTCGCGGTCCACCCCGTGCTCTCACTGCGTCTGATGCCCACCATTGCGTTATACTCTCTTCGGGCTGCCCGCTTGAAGCACACTGTGGAGTCGGGGTCCTAAACCAACATCGCGCCCCTCCTCGATCCGTGGACGCTGACAAGTCAGCATTCGGTTCCATCGATACTGGCGCACACCCGAGGAGGAGGGAGGAGGAGGAGGAGGAGGAGGATCCCTTCCACGCGACAGAACTCGGTAACGACAATTCGGCGCCACCCGCTCGGGCACGAAGGCGCGCGACGCCGCGCAGTGCCGGGAGCCCACGGGCGTGCCCTGGCAGCGGCCAATGCGACCCAGGCCCTGCACAATCTTTGCACAACTGGTGCCGCGCGAGCGAGGGCCAGCGAACTTCGCGCAAATAGTTGGTTTCTTTGAAGGTGATGGTCGGTTCCCGTTGGGCTTCGAAAGTGTCTGTTATTCTGCGTCATTCGATCTGTTTGGGCCTCTGGAGGGCCCCTTGCAGCCACGGCTGGGCCCCCTTTCGAAATCCTGGCCCGGAAGCGAGGAGCAGCCGAGAGACGAGATCTCCGACGATGTGATTTTTCAATCCTTGTTTTTTCTTATATCAGGGCCTCCCGGGGCCGTCTTCCGCCTCGCCCGTCGCCGCGTCGCCGCGCCTTCCCTTCCGGGGAGAAGGAGGGGGAAGGGGCGGGGGGGGAAGGGGCGGGGGGGGAGGGGAGGGAGGAGGAGGAGGAGGAGGAGGAGGAGGAGGAGGAGGAGGAGGAGGAGGAGGAGGAGGAGGAGGAGAAAGAGGGCAAAGAGGGGGAGGGCGAAAACGCAGGGAGGGAAGGGGCGAGGAAGATTCAAATAAGCGTCGGCTTGAGAGTTACGCGGAACAAAAGGAGGGACAAAAGCACAGAAGACGAATGCTAAAGGCGCGGTGCGATGTCCAGCACGCAGGGTTCCAGTTCCGTCCGCCGATCCGATATCGCGCCGACGCAGCTGCGACCGGATCCGATTCGCGAGTCGGCGACGCCTGGCAAGCACGCGGAGGAGGGGCGCGAGGGGGGGGGCGGGGGCGAGTAGGATGTGGAGGAGGAGGAGAAGGAGGAGGAGGAGGAGGAGGAGGGGGCAAAGGATGACTCCGCAGGGCGCGACGCGAAAAGGGCGCGGTCCCGAGGTCGACCAGCGATCGCAAACAATCCGATTTCGATCCGATTCCCGCCGCTCACGAGCCATTGCTGGCATTCGGGCCGCTCGGGGCCCTCTTGGAGCCTTCTGGGGGCCTTCCGGGAGCCATCTGGAGCATATCGGGGATTTTTTGAATTTCTCGGAGGGTCTTCGAGGGCCTGTGGGAAGTGTTCTGGGGATCTCCTGGGGGGCTCCTGAGGATTTTTCGGGGCCGAGGGCTCGAAATATCCGTTCGGGCCCTCCGTCTGAGCCCCCTTTCGAAGCCGTTCCGGGGCTTCTCGGGCTGCGGTTTCTAGGGTCGTTTTGGAAGCCCCGTAGGGCGTTTGGGGGCCTTCCTGGGGGGCGTTTTGGGCCGTGCCGGGGGCGCTCTCGGCTGCCGTTTGGGGTTGCCGCGGACGTTGCGACAGCTGAAATGGCGAAGACGGTGAAACATATGTTTTCCCATCGGAATGAGGCGATGTTGCTGTTTGGTGCACTTGCGGGAACTGTCGGGGGGCGGTTTTGGAGGCTTCGTGGGTCGTCTTGGAACCTTTCGGCGATTCGGGCTGTCTGCAAGCCATATTGGGCGCAGAAGGACTGATCGTTGAGCGATGCGGGGCTTTCGTGGACCATAATGAAAGTTTTTCGCGGCACTCTTGAACGGTTTTTGCTTTTTGTTTGTTGAAGTTCGGCAGACCCCGGGGGGGGGGGCATTTTGACCCGGGACCCCCCCCAGGCGGGCAGGGATCAAGGGAAGGGGCTTCTTTTCGATTCAATTACGTACGGCGTTATTTAATGTCGTTTTAGCTGGCGCGCCTGAGGAGGAGAGCCCAGGGAAAGAGGGAGCACGGCGACGACAACGACGACGACGAAGACGACGACGAACGGAAGAGCCCTCCCACACGCCTACAGGGTCGGCAGATTTCGGTAAATAACGAGGCCGGAATAGGGTCAGAGAGATGATGTTTGAGGATGTCTCGAGCGAACGCTCGTTCTACGTTATAGTTTGTTCCTCCCGTGGGAACAAGAGTTCGGAGGGTTTCTCAAGTGAAAAGTTTGTTTTCCCGTGCCCAAGTCTTGAAGATGTCTCGAGCGAGACGCCTGGTTTCACGCGTCCAAGTTGCCTGGGCAGATGTCTAGCATGAGGATTCGCTGAGGATGTCTCGAGCGAGACGCTTGTTTTCACGCGTCCAGGCTGCCCAGGTGGATGTGTAGCAGGAGGATGTGTTGAGGAAGTCTCGATCGAAACGCTTGTTTGCACGTGTCCAGGTTGCCCACGAGTCCCCCTGACACTTCGCGCGGCGCGTCCCCTGGCACGCCCCGTGTCGCGTCAATTGTCAATTGGCACGTTCCGTAGCGCGTCCCCTTGGCACGTCCCTCGGTGCGTCGCCATGGCACGTCCCCTGGCACGTCGCTTGGCGCGTCCCTTTGGGACGTTCCGCGGAGCGTTTTCTTGGCATGTCCCCCTGTCCATTAGCTCTGGGGCAGCTACTCTGCGCTAAGGCAGCTCGAGCCAAAAATCCAGATCAGTTCGATCAGGATTCGGATGCAAAGGGGGGCACGACCCACAACACTATAGAGCACAATCGCAGCATGGCACATCGCAGTTCAGCACAGCACAGCCCTCGGCACGGTACATCAAGATCGATGTACTCAACATTGTAATTTGGCATGTTCCTTGGCACGTTCGATGGCGCGTCCCGTGGCGAGTCCCCCTGGCACGTCGCGCGGCGCGTCCCCTAGCACGTCCCGTGGCACGTCCATTGGCACGTTCCGTGGCGCGTCCCGTTGGCACGTCCCGCGGTGCGTCCCCATGGCACGTACCCTGGCACGTCGCCTGGCGGGGACGTTCCGCGGAGCGTTTTCTTGGCATGTCCCCATGTCCATTAGCTCTGAGGCAGCTACTCTGCGCTCAGGCAGCTCGAGCCAAAAATCCAGATCAGTTCGGTCAGGACTCGGATGCAAAGGGGGGCACGACCCACAACACTATAGAGCACAATCGCGGCATGGCACATCGCAGTTCAGCACGGCGCAGCACAGCACAGCCCTCGGCACGGTACATCAAGATCGATACACTCAGCATTGCATGTACCCGTCGCCCTATCAGGTGTCTTTGAAAACGTCGCCATGCCTTACATTTTCCGAGTTCGTGGGTCGATCATGTTTGCTTTGGGCCCAGCGAAGGGCTCCATACCCTCGGTCCTGGCCGGCGTCGACGACTCAGGGTGGACGAAGGGGGCGTCAATTGACGACCGAACAGCATGCAGTTGGTTTTCTTCACCGCCTCCCGGCACCGGACGCGCTGATGCATAGAGGAAGGCGCCTGGCGGCGGTGCCTAACCCAGACGCATGCAGCAGATTTCGTACCCCACCCTTCCTGGGGGTTGGTAAAGGTGCTCCTGCCCCAAGGTGCCCCCAGCTCGTGAGGGGTGCTCTGGAGACCTTGGGGGCCTCCTCGGAACTCCTGGAGGCACCTTGGGCTAGGGGCACTTCTAGCGACACCCGAGTGGGGAGGGAGGTCCAGCGCCGATCGGAGAGATCCGCACAAGCCTCCAAAAGTGTATGGTTTCGTCGCTGCCTGTTCCTCTGATCGAGTAGGAGGCGGGCCACACAATCTCTGTGCCCCAAGGTCGTCCCTTCGTCTAGATCTGCGGAGCATTCGACGCACTCGTCTCGTAGATTCGGCACACAAACTTGACGGGGCAGACCGAGTTTGCAGCCGATCTCATCCTTGAAAGGCGGGCGGGCCCGGGGGCCCGGGCACGCCGCTGGCCCCTGGGGAGCACCTCGAGGCGCCGCGGGGCGGCCCGCGGATCCCTGCGCCGCCGGGGGCCGCTGGCGGGACCCCCGCGCCGCCGCGCGGCCGCAGCGCCCCAGCCGGGAGCAAGCTCAGCCTGTAGGGCGCGGCTCGCGAGGGGTTCGGGGGGAGAAGGGGAGAGGAGGGGAGAGAAGGGGAGAGAGGAGGCGAGAAGAGGAGGGAAGAGAGAAGAGGAGAGACGAGAAGAGAAGAGGAGAGGAGAGGAGAGAAGAGGCGAGAACAGGCGAGAAGAGGCGAGAAAAAGAGAGAAGAGGAGAGAAGAGGAGAGGAGAGAATTTGAGAGAAGAGGAGAGAAGAGAGCCCAGGCGGATGTCTAGCATGAGGATGTGTTGAGGATGTGTTGAGAGAAACGCTTGGTTTCACGTGTCCAGGTCGCCCAGGCGGATGTCTAGCATGAGGATGTGGGCAGGATATCTCGAGCGAAACGCTTGTCCCCAGCACGTTCCGTGGCGCGTCCCGTTGGCACGTCCCGCGGTGCGTCCCCATGGCACGTACCCTGGCACGTCGCCTGGCGCGTCCCTTTGGGACGTTCCGCGGAGCGTTTTCTTGGCATGTCCCCCTGTCCATTAGCTCTGAGGCAGCTACTATGTGTTCAGGCAGCTCGAGCTGAAGGTCCAGAGCAGTTCGGTCAGGATTCGGATGCAGAGGAGGACTCGATCCACAACACTACAAAGCACAATCGCGGCATGGCACATCGCAGTTCAGCGCGGCGCAGCACAGCACAGCTCTCGACACGGTGCATCAAGATCGATACAGCATTGCAACTTGGCACGTTCGATAGCGCGTCCCGTGGCGAGTCCCCTTGGCACGTCGCGCGGCGCGTCCTTTGGCACGTCCCGTGACACATCCATTAGCACGTTCCGTAGCGCGTTCCCTTTGAACGTCCCCCGGCTTCCTCCTGGAATGTCCTTTTGTCAAGTAGCTCTGGGGCAGCTACGATGTGCGCAGGTATCGCGAGCGTAAGGTCCTGATCAGTTCGGTCAGGACTCGGATGCAAAGGAGGACTTGGTCCACAATGCTATAGAGCACAATCGTGGCATGGCACATCGCAACTCAGCACGGCGCAGCACATCACAGCCCTCGGCAGTGCACATCAAGGTTGATGGTGTTTTTGAAACGCCGCCATGCTTTACATGTCTATATTCCTTTCCTGGGTTCGTTGGTCGATCATTTACAACATGTTCATGGAATTCTTCCAAACGGGCCTCTGGCGCCGCATGCCGAAATCATTCGCGCGCCCTTGCGCGCGTGCTGGGGGGGAACGATCCATGTCAAATAACACCATGCGGGCCACTCGCGCGCGTCGGCCGCGCGCGCATGTCGAACTCTTTCCAAAAACTTCATCACTGACGCAAGGACGCCGTCATCGTCGTCGGCGTGATCAGTACCGGTGCCCGCAATGGAGTAAATATGCTCCTCTCCGCCACTTCTTAAGCTTGCTCTTCTCACTGCCTACCCTGCCACTCCTTGACTTTGCGGCTTTGTACCGCAGCTGTTTGCTACTCAAGGAGAAAAAGGAGCGCGCCAGCCCTCGGCCGCCGCGCGTCGTCGTCGGTCGTCGGCCGGCCGGCCTCCTCCCTTACTAATCCTGAGTACGATTGCTTAACGTTTACGTGTTGTTTCGTCGATGTCTCTTCCCGTATCCTCTATTACTGAGCAGAGTAAACACGAGACATTGACTCCTTTGTCATCTTACCCCGATTCTCAGAGGAAAGACTGGTTATCCGCCGAAGCCCGCGACCAAGTCACAACAGGGATGAGCGATGATGGAACAGCCGAATTGCTCGCCAGAGACGAGCTCATGAGACAAGTTGTACAACATGACGGGCAAGGACCACAGGACGGCGGCCCGGGGAGGGACCGCCTTCCCTCTTCTTCTATCGCCACCCAGGTCTCCCAGGGAAGGAGTAGGGGAGAGATTGTAGATTCTATAGGCTTACGCCACATCCGCCGACCCCTCATCGTGGCGGTCTTGCCGGCTCGCTTGAGTCGGGCTGGGGAGTCGTGTATGGGTCCATAATGACCTCTCTTGGGGCCATGTGGAATCAGCTTGGGGTCATCTCGAGGCCCCGGGGGGCCCATCGGAAAAGAAAGGACGCTAATGCAATCTTGGCATCGTTCTGGAGATGCCCAAAGGGTGGAAGCGTTGGATTCGGGCCCCGTATATTTCTTGCTGGGTTTGACTTCTTTGGTGAGGCGGGGTTGCTTTTGGGGGCATCCCTCAGCCCGCGCGGGGAACCTCGGGGCTGTGGAGGGGACGAGTCTCACACGCTTGGGAACCGAGAAGGTGTTCGCGGTTTGTTTCGCATTGCTAGGTCCAGACACGTTACGAGCCCGAGGCCATCGCGTGACCTACGGGGGCTGAGCTAGGACGCTACGTGCGGCCGAAGCGGTGGTTCGGTTGGTGTTCCCCCCGCGTCCTCACGGGGCGTTTCGCCATCATCATCATCACCACCATCATCATCATCATCATCATTACCGTCGCCATCATCATTATCATCATCATCATCATTATCATCGAGTCGTCAAGAGTACGCTGACGTAGAAGGCTGGAAGGGGCAGGAAAGCGGAAGCAGAGAAGGCATCGCCCACGTACCGCGAGACGACAGAGCTGGTCGCAGCGCTGGGGTACTTACACAGCGGCCAGACGAATGGGTTGGAAGAAACGGAAGTCGGCGGGAGGGAATCAGCGAGCCGGAGTGGGATAACAGAAGAGGGAGACAAGGGCAACGAGGAAGGGCGAACTTGGTTGCAAGAGTACCTCGGCGTCTGGGTGCAAAAGGGGCAGGAGTTTCGACAGAACCGCGTGCACCAGTGGAGCAAGCGTTTGCAGCGCGTGGCACCGTTGGCACATTGTCAGAGGAAAGACGACATGACGCAGTGCAGCAGCTGTTTCCCGCGCACGACGTGGCTCATAGATCGCGCAATGGTGTTGTGCCGAGGCTTTTTGAAAAACCGTGACATGCCGCGAGCAGGGAGGAGGAACGTGACAGGGTGCTTGCACGGGCCCATGAACGAGGAGAACCGGAACGGCACGCTACCAGCGATGCTAAGCGGCGCGGTAGGATTGAATTTCAACAGCGACTTGCAGATCCCGCACAGGTTCCCAGTGACGGAAGCGACGCATGATAGTTGTGTGTGCGAAGAGCGGCGCTGGGAGACGGATCGACCCATAGACATGGTTCAGGCAGCGCAACGAGCGCAGAAGCGGGGTATGCGGCGGACTATCAGTGCAAGCGGTGTGCCCCGTCGTTCAACGAGGTGAGGGAGATCAAAAAGGGCCGCCGCGCGCTGGCGGAGCAGACGAAAGACAGGGCCGCGGCGCACCGAGCGAACAGGCACATGAAGAGGTTTCTCAGTGACATGTACGGGAGAGGTGTGGTGCGGTCAGCGCAGGAAAGTGCGAGTCTGCGCGCGTACCGAGACCCCAGAGACGCGACTGGTGCCGAGAGTATCAAGACTGCGAAGACAGCCATGATCCCGGGAGCAGAAGCCGTGCGCATGGCGGAACGGCTCTGTGCTGACGGGGGCGGCGCCGCCGTAGCAGCGTCGGGGATTCTGGAAGCAGACAAACGAGAAGGGCCGAAAAAGGTTCGAATTGTGTCTAAGAGTCCAGTGTACTTGTATGGCATGCGCCCGGTTGACGCTCCCGGTGCGCCCGACTTGGCACACTTATCGCTGTATGGGTTCTTGCGATATTGGCGCATCGAGTTGGCAGCATTTCCCCGCAGCGGAGCAGAGCTGGCAGCCGCGGCCAGCAATGATTACCAGGCGGAGCTGACGAAGTCCGGGATTCAGAAGGTCCGCGAAGCAGACGAGCAGAGAGCGGATGCTGACGAAAGCGGTGCGCTGCCCGGACCCCAGTTGAAAGCCGGAGTGGATTATGTGATCAAGGCAGGATGGGGGAGTTATTCGTGGGTCCCGTTTCCAGATGTTCTTGAGCTCGAAACATTGAGGCACGCGCGGGTGCTGGTGCGAAACGAGCGCCCGAGAAACTCCAGCTTTCATGGGGCGCCGCAGCCGAAAGACGGAGCGGGGCAGGAGGATAGGAACGTGCTGTTGTTGATGGTATATTTCCGGGCCTTCGCACTTCGCGACGATGAAGAGTTCGCGGGGGCCGACTGTGGAGTACCACGCCTGCGAGAGTTCCGCGGAGAGCAGGGGTCATGGGCGGAGGCGTCTCTGGAATGGTTGAGGAAAGGCATGCCATGCGAAGAAACAAGGGGGCACGTGCAGAACTACATGGGCGCGGTGGATATGCGACCAGTCACGGACGAAGATCTAGTCGAAGGCGAAGACGAGCTGCACAGCGATGAAGAACTGAATCCGCGACTTGTCGACGCGGCGACTATACGGAAGACGCGCGCGGGAGGCGCGTCCATGGAGAAAGAGGACGGGCGGGCCAATGTAGACGCGGAGTGCGAGAAGGAGAAGAGCCGGGAGGCCATGGCCAGGGGCGGCGCCGTTTGGGGCGAGATGACGAGTCGAAAGAACGGAAAGCGCAAAAAGCACGGAGAGGACGGCGCGTTGAGGTGGGATGACGCGGCAGTGAAAAGAGCGCATGCGATGGCCGCGGCGCCGAGGGCGGCCCGAGGAGGCGGCGCCGGGGCAGCGGAAGGTGCCCCGGAAGTGGTCACGGCCAAAAAAGCGACGGCGTCGAGCGTGCGGGAGTGGAGATCCGGTCTTGCAAGGAGCGGACTGAATGAGAGACAACGGAGCGTCGTTGAGAAGGTGGCAGATCGAGTGCTGGCGCAAGAGTTCGCGAGTTCCGCGCAGGGAAGGAGAAGAGGCCAGAGCCCTTCTGATATGCAGCCCCTCGTGTGGATGTTGCGCGGTGGCCCGGGGACGGGAAAGAGTTTCGTCATGGGCAAGATTCGGGGGGACGTACTGCGCGCCCGCCGCCGGCTTGGCACCCTTTCTGGCGCCGAACCAACCCATCCAGATACCAAGCCAACGGCCGCCGGCTTGGTACCCCGCCGGCTTGGTACCCCTCCAGGGCCTCCTCCCTACCAAGCCAGCGGCCGCCGGCTTGGTACCCCGCCGGCTTGGTACCTCTCCAGGGCCTCCTCCCTACCAAGCCAG